TTAAGCGATTCTCTTGCCTCAGCCTCCCAAGTAGATGAGACTGCAGGCCACACCACAATGCCTGGCTGTTTTTTTTTCTTTTTGGTTTTTTTAGTTGTCATTGTTGTTTGGCAGGCCTGGGCTGGATTCGAACCCGCCACCTCTGGTGTATGTGGCTGGCATCTTAGCCACTTGAGCTGCAGGCTGGAGCCATGAATGGGATACTTTCTAAAGATACTTTTTATGATGGCAATGAAGTGAAGACTTATGTATTATGTGCAAGAGTATGGTTGCTAATCAACTCTTCTCAGGTCCTTGAATTTTCTTTATCTTTCCTCTAGCATCTTATCTTTTTTTTTTGAGACTGAGTCTCACTATGTCGCCCTCTATAGAGTGCTATGGCATCACAGCTCCCAGCAACCTCAAACTCTTGGGCTTAAGCGATTCTCTTGCCTCAGCCTCTCAAGTAGCTGGAACTATAGGCACCCACCACAATGCTGGGCTATTTTTCTATTGCAGTTGTCATTGTTGCTTAGCTGGCCCTGGCTGGATTCGAACCTACCACCCTCAATGTATGTGGCTGGAGGCGTAACCACTGTGCTACAGGTGCTGAGCATCTATCTTTCAGTGTCTTTTTCTTTAATCACCAAGATTTTGATATTTCAAGTTAAAAAGTTTTGAGTCTATATCAACAAGGACTCCAGTGGATACTTTGTTATTTATGTTGACTGCTTCTCATAGAAACATCTGAATAATTCAAATAGTGACATATTATTTTTTAAATAGTTTTATTATTACTGTTATTTAATTTTAAGGAACATATGCTCATAGTAGATATTTTAAAAGTTCAGATGTGCATAACTGAAAGTTAAATTCTCCCTTATCCTCCCACTCCACCCTTATTCTTCTGCTCTAAGATTAAGCATTTTTAATAATTTAGTGTTTATTTTCTTTGGTTGTATGAAACATATATATATATAGCTATAAAAGTTTAAAAATAAGTGGAATTGTATGTATGTATTTCTGCATCTTGTGTTTTCACTTGGTATTTCCTGGATGTCTTTTCATGTCATTATGTATCGATGCACTTCAAATGCCTTGTTAACAACTGCAATGTATTGCCTTGGATGCATTCTGTGGTTCTGTCATAATTGGTTTAGCCAGTTTTCTACTATTATGGACACTTAGATTGTTTTTAATTTTTCACTATTATAGATAATGTGCACTGAACATGTATGTGTACTACTACATAAATGAGTATTCGTATATATATTTCTTATAAATAATCAATTATACAATTTCCAGAGGTTTTTTTACCTTGTAATTTCTCAAATGTCCATTTAGGTGCTCTTTTCATGTCAATCATAAACACTTATACAGATTCTTTTTTTTTTTT